TGGCTCCAGCAAAGGAAGAAGGTGATTATAATGGTGACGATGATCTTGAAGGGCTTTTTGGATTTGGCAAGGCGGTTTCGTCGTAGGTTGAAGACGATGGCGATGTAGCAGAAGGTGATGATGGTTATGGGAAGGATGTACCCAGCGAGGAACCTGGTGATGGTCACTGTTCTGTGTCTTGCTAAGGCCAGCGGTAGATAAGATTTATTGCTGGATAGGGAAAAATTGCTAAAACAAATCACGGAGCTGGAGGCTTGCGCCGTGTCTCGGAAGATGAGAGAAGGGCAGCTCATAATGATGCCGATGGTCCAGATAATCAAGCAAACTAAATATGCTAGGTTGGTTGATCGATGGTTTTGAGACCAGACAGGAAAAACCACCGACACATAGCGATCGAAACTGATGGTGGTGAGCAGAAGGACGCTGGTGTACATGTTAAGGATGAGAAGGAAGGAGTTTAACTTGCACATGACTTTCCCAAAGATCCAGTGGTACCTCATGGCAGTGTAAGCAATATTTATGGGCAGGAAGATGTTGAAGAGGAAGTCAGCAACAGCCAGGTTGAGAAACCAGATGGCATTGACTGACTTCTTCATCTTTAGAGTTATGATTGCAATGACGAGGCCATTCCCTAGTAACCCCAACACGCAGGACACACTGTAAATGACAACGGAGAGGATCCTAGCAATGTCTTTTCCATTGTGGGATGGGTTTGTCTTCAGGCTGTCGAACTCATCATAGGTATAATCTGAATCGTCATTATAGTTATGAATATATTCAGAGTAATCAGAAAAATTATGCAGGCCCATTGTCTGTAAACAGATCACAGTCTTGTCAGTACCGGGGGAGTCTCTGACCGATGATGCCTCTGCTTATTTCTGCTGTGCAAACATATGAAGTTAAATGAGACAATACAGACATTGGGGAAGCACCAAAGCCTGCTCCAGAGGAGGGAGCCCCCCACAAAAGCTGCGTGGGCACAACAGGGCCTGGGAAGAGCCAGCTCGGTATGTGAAGCTAACAGCAGCACCTGAGCAGGTGAGCCGGGGCCCAGGGGAAGAAACACAGCCAGAGATACAAGCGCTGATGTCAACTCCAAAATGACCGTGGGGCAAGTTCCCAGGCGCCTGGTGGCTTTTTGCCACCTGCTGTTTGTGTGCGCTGGGTGTGGGCGGGCTGGAAGCTTGCAAACCCCCAGGCAGAAGCTGTTCTCACGGCTCCTCTGCTTGGATTTACAGCCCTCTTACCAAGACAGAAATCAGATCTCTGAGCCACAGGACATGATTCAGAGTCATTTGTCATCACTAGGATGTGGTTGTAGCCTCATCCTGCAAAATAGGTTTATTACCCACCTACCTCCAGGGGAAAAATCAGCATTATGCTCATTAACAGCTCCTTAATAGCTTCAAGATCCTCCTGCCACTGCAAAACATCATGGCCCTTCTCTTTTTTCTCCCGAGCGCTTAGCAAATTGCAAGCTTCTGATTAAATGCTGCATGCAGTTGAACATGCACCTCCGCTGCTGCCAGGCTGGGCACAGCACGCAGCCGGGGCTAGCATCTGGCCCTGGAAAAACCAGCGTTAAATCTCACCTTTTCTCTCCTGTATGATGGCTGTATTTTCAGCTCTGCTCCTAACGTCCCTGCAGCAGGGCTTTATCCGCGCGCTCAGCAGCTGGAAACCCTGAAACAGCAGGAGGAAACGCAGGCGGTTTAGTATCCCAAGGCAGCCAAACAAAGGGAGCTCCTTCCTTACGGAAGCATGTTTATGTACGGAGCCGTAATATTAAGGCTCAGATCAAACAAAGGCCATTCACCCTTGGAGGCTGGGGTTAAGGGAGGAAACAGATACTCGGGCTAAAAACGAGCAGTAGCTGCTGTGATTTAACCCTATGCATATGCCATGGAGAAGCCTTTGCCAGCATGCCGGCACCCTC